GGGGGGGCAAAGTGAGCCAGATTAATTTAATTTAAATCCTACTTTAAAAATAACAATCGTAATTGCAGTTAACATTTATATAGCACCTACTACGTGTCAGGCAATGTGCCTAACAGTGATTATCTCATTTTATCCTCACAACAGCTCAGGGAGGCAGGTGCTATTGTTATCCTCATTTTACAGAAGAGGAGACTGAGGCTTAGAGAGGATAATGACTTACCCAGGGTCACATAGCTAAATATCTGAGGCCAGGTTTGAACTCAGGTCTTCCTGACTTCAGTCCTGGTGGTGTCTACTAGCTGCCCTAGACACTTACTAGCTGTGAGACCTTGGGCAAGTCACTTATCCTCTTTTAACCTCAGTTTCTTCATTTGTCAAATGGGGATAACAACAGCACCTATCTCCCTGGGTTGTTGTGACGATCGAATGAAATAATGAATAACTTTAAAATGCTTTGTAAATATTGGCTGTTTTTATTATCATTAGAGCTGCTTGTCCATGCTCAATTTTACAGAATTCTCATTTTATGGAAGAAGAAACAGGGGGACCTCTGGGCCTACTGATTGCCAGTGTGGTGCTGTTTCACCAGGTTGTTGACATCTGGCTTTTCTTTGGGGTGTTAACCCCTCCAGAACAAGAGGCCCTGTTATAATGACTCAAGAGAAGCATTGGGATGGGATGTAGAGTCCCTCAGCCTTTTTGGGTGCTCACCACCCCTACTTTTGGACTTTTGTTTGCAGGAACATTTTTAAAAAGGATGAAATTTTAAAAAAACAAATAAAAACAAAAAAGATGGAACTTTGAGTGACAGATGATGGGGCAGCTGGTGTCTCCAGGAAGGCATGGTTCTCCACTGGAGGCTGGGGTGCTAGCGCCCTTCCCCTACCTTTCCAGCCTGATTACCCACCTTTCCACTGCCCTGGAAAATATGCTTTCAAGGAGGTGCTGAGGGGCATCTCTTGTTCAATCAGAGCTAGGCCTCTCTCCCCACCTCTAGGAGGCCAGGGCTCCCTCCTGCCAGTCTCCCATCCTTTCTCCCTCTTCCCACTCCACAGAATTGGGGGCCATCTCCAGTCATCCTGATCTATAACTTGCCACTGGACCCAGATGGCTCCGGAGGAGAAAGTGAGGCTGGTGACTTTGCATGGCTCTGCCTCACTTAAATCCAGTTCATTTACAAGTGACATCACCTTTCTGATATCAAGGTCCTCTTCAAGAGCGAAGGACAAACAACTCCACAGAACCTGCTCCTGAGCTGTCAATGGCTCCTTTCCTATTTATTCTTCCTCATCACCAGGCTCCACACACACCTTCTTCCTTAGAGGAGAATAAGTGCCTGATGTTGGAGGCCTTTACATTTCCCAGGCTCAGGGGCAGCTAGGTGGCACAGTGGATAGAGCTCTGGCCCTGGAGTCAGGAGGACCTGAGTTCAAATGTGACCTCAGACATTTGACACTTACTAGCTGTGTGACCCTGGGTGAGTCACTTAACCCTGATTGCCTCACCAAAAAGCAAAAAAAAAAAAAAAAAAAAAAAAAGGATATTAGTTTCCCAGGCTCAGATATATTTTCAGCCCTTGGAGCAAAGCCCAGGTCACCATCTCTGGTTGTGACTCTGCCTCTGTCTAATCCTCTGGTTCTTTTCTTGTTCTCCACAGTCCTTCAAAGATCACTGAAAGTGATTCAGCAATTACATCACTTCCAGTACCCGAGTGGTGATCAGGGGCATGCTGGTAAATGTTTAACAACTGACTCTTGGAAAATTGTACACATGACACACTTTTAAATTTAATCTAAATTATTAACATTTTCTCCATCACATTCTCAAATGTAGATAATCCACAAAACAATAACCCAGTCCCTGATTTGGAGCATCTGCCCATTTCCCAAAGGTAAATGTTCATCCTGAGAATTTAATCAGCTTTCTCAAGCTGCCTCTGGCACCTCCTGGTCCAATGGAACTAGACTCACCAGGGCTCCATTCACTATCAGTCCTTGCTGATCTTGGGGATCGACTGTCTTTTATCTATATTTGTTCTGTCTGTCCTGCCCAAAGGTCATTTCCCTTCATGGAGAAATCAGAATCCTTGCATTTCTACCCTGATTACATGTTTTGCTGTTCCTTGACTAGATAGGAAGCCAACTAAAATGTGTATAGATCTGAGTCAACTTCAGAAGATCTCAGTTTTTTAATTGAGTAGGGCAGCTGGGTGGTGCAGTGGGTAGGGCTCATCTTCCTGAGTTCAAATCCTGTCTCAGACACTTAGTAGCTGTGTGACCCTGGGCAAGTCCCTTAACCCTGTTTGCCTCAGTTTCCTCTTCTGTAAAATTATGTGGAGAAGGAAATGGCAAACCACTCCAGTATCTTTGCCAAGAAAACCCCAAATGGGGTCATAGAGAGTTGGACACAACTGAAAAATGACTGAACAAGTGGCAAAGTGAGACAGATGGATAAATTACTATTAAAAACCTCCAGGATTTGAACCCTACGTCAGGAACCAGAACTAGCTGAAGCTTAGGCAACATTTATATGGTCTGATCGGCAGGGTCTTTGTTCTCCTTTTTTCTTTCCTCTGGACATAACTGCAGTTAGTCAATGTCCTTTCTAAAATGCAGTGCTCTGATGTGAACATAATATTCCAGGGATAGTCTAATGAAGACGAGAACAGCAGGTCTGTATCATCCATCAATCTGGACGCTGGGCCCCTATTAACAAGGCAACCTAAGCTTTTGGGGAAAACCATGTTATACTGTTGACTCATTATGGAAATATATTTTGCATAACTTCCTATGTATAATGGGTATCATCTTTTTTTGCCTTCTCAATGGGTGGGAAAGTGGGTGGAGGGAGTGGAGGAATTTGGAACTGAAAATAGAAATTACAAATTAAAAAAATATATACTGTTGACTCATAATAAGTTTTGTTATTGTTCAGTTGTGTCCGACTCTTCATGACCCCATGGATCATACCATCCATGAGGATTTCTTGGCACAAATACTGGAGTGGTTTGCCATTTCCTTCTTCAGTTCATTTGACAGATGAGGAAACTGAGGCAAACAGGGTTAAGTGACTTGCCCAGGGTCACACAGCTAGTTAAGTGTCTGAGGCTGAATTTGAATTCAGGTGTTCCTGACTTTAGTCCCAGCATTCTGTCCACTGAGCCACCTAGCTTCCCCAAAATGGGCATGGGGATAATAATAGTACTTACCTACCTGGGTATGAGGATTAAATGAGATAATAATTGTAAAGGGCTCCACACAGTGCCTGACATAGAGTAGGTGCTATATAAATGTTAGTTATTATTATTATTAATAGCACTTGCCTCTGTGGGTTATTTGTGAGGATCAAATGATATCTTTACATATATATGTAAAGAGCTTTGCAAAACTTAAAGTGTGATTAAAGGTTAGTTATTATTATTATTATTATTATTACCTTGTGACTGGGCCCATTTTCTTTTCCAATAATAGTCTTACTTTCACCATTTCTTCTGCATAAGACATCATTGGGAATATGCTACAGCCTACTTGTGGCCACCATTCCTCGCTCCATTGCATTTTGGGCCACTCACAACTCATATTCCCCAGCAACTGTGGTGTTCCAATATTTGAAACCAGATTGAAAATCTAGGAAAACATTTGTGCTGAAAAGTTGAGTTTTTGAAGAGCTGCATGGGATCAAAAGCACTGTACAATTTCCCAAAGGCAATCCAGTCTTCTTTCCATCCCCTATTTGTCCGTTCTCAGCTTATTACTCATCTGTTTTGCCTATATATATACATACATACACTGATATACCAGTTCAGTAGAATGGCCACTCAACTGCGGGTCACAGTCTTGTTTTTTCCTATATGTATTATTAGTCCAATATCTTGTGAATAATCAGAGATCTCCTTAAGGAAGGCCTGTAATTTTCTAGGGCTTAAAGTAATTATTACAATACTGTCTGAAAACAAGAGCATTTGGAGGGCCTCACAATCTATAGGGAATCCTTCTTCCATTCACACCCTGTGTTATACATCCTCCCTGACAGTGGCATGACCTTTGTCAAGTGTCTATTTCCCTCTTTTATGCCTTACTTAGGAACATGAAGGGCACCCAGGTCACAGAGTGGATAAAGTATTGGGCCTGGAGTTAGGAAGATTCCTCTTCCCGAGTTCAAATGTGACCTCAGACACTTACTAGCTGTGTGACCCTGGGCAAGCCACTTAACCCTGTTGGTCTCAGTTTCCTCATATGTCAAATGAACTGGAGAAGGAAATGGCAAACCGCTGCAGTATCTCTGCCAAGAAAACCCCATAAAGAGTTGGATATGACTGAAAAATGATTGAACAACAACAAATAGGAAGACGAAGTCGGGAAGAGCAATTGGATCAGATCAAGTATATACTGGAAAATCTATACTATAGGTACAATCTTGGCAGCACAGAGGGGCAACGACAACACATATATTTGAGTGAGGGAAAAATGTTAAAAGAATGGAAAAAATCAGGGACAATATAAATATTCAAAAAAAGGCAATCAAAAACCCTATCAATGTGCCTACTTTATCACTCTGTGTTTATATCACCATCCTTTTCAAACATATCGTCCCCCCTCCCCTTAAAACAAAGAATTTTTTTTTACAAAAAAGAGAAAAAAAGCAGTTCAGCAAAATCAGCTGGGACAACTGAGTTTGAAATGTATGCAAAATTCTACACTGACAGTTCCCAACCTTTGCCAAAAAGTTCAAATGTCACCTCTTTCATGAATCCATCCTTGATTTTGCTCTCCTTATCTTATGGCCCTTACCACAGTCTCTTGTATCCCAGCCAGAACTAAATAAGGAATTTCCAGCAAGAAGATAAACACCAGAGACTTCACCTTGGAAAGAGTAGCATAAAAGGCCCACCCAGAGCAAATTTTAAAGACAGATTCAGGACTGTTTTGGAAGGATGGGTTTAGGGAGAGACCTGAGGGACAGAATTCAGATCTTGAGATAGAAA